ATAAAGACTCGGCTTGCAGGCTGTGGCGCTCTCTCTCCATCAGAGAGGGCAGCGTCCCACCCAGACCCAGCTCTCTTCTCTGGTCTGTCTTTTCTTAATCCTTCACCGCCCCCTCAGGCTCACCGAACCTGCCTGTGCTGGCGCGGCACAGATGAGTGATGAGGAAATGTGATGGCCGCAGGCTTTTCTATCAAGAAATGTGGCTGTGCCCTGGCCGGTTTGGCTCAGTGGATAGAGCGTCAGCCTGCGGACTGCAGGGTCCCAGGTTCAGTTCTGGTCAAGGGCACATGCCTCAGTTGCAGGTTCCTCCCCGGCCCTGGTCGGGGCACCTGCAGGAAGCAACCAATCGATGTGTTTCTTTCACACTTATATTTCTCTCTGTCTTTCCCCCTCTCTTCCACTCTCTCTAAAAATTAATGGGAAAATATCCTGGGGTGAGGATTTTAAAAAGAAAGAAAAAAAAAAGAAAAGAAATGTGGCTGTAAAGATGGGGGCTGGTGGCCAGAGGGTGGGTTTTGTTTTTATTTTTAAGGCCGGAAAGGTCTGGGCTATGGGAAGAAGGAGATAGCAGGGGAGAGGGTTGGTAGGTGGCAGGGTGATGTCCTCAGAAGGTAGGAGGCGCTGGGGTTCAATGTAAAGGGGAGGGGTTGACCTTTGGGGGGAGGACCCAAGAGCACTGGTAAGAATGCAAGTGGGGCTCCGGCATGGCCTTAAGGGTGGGTTTTCAGACTGGGTGAGTAGAGGTGGGGTGGAGTGAGGAGGGCGGACTTCAATGGCCGGAGAGGCAGGCGTCCTTGCTGTGAGCGCCCCGTAAAGGTTGGAGACCACAGTTTGGTAATGACACCAGTCTGGGCAACCCTGAGAGTCTCTCCCCTAATGGCAGCCCTGCCTCCCACCACCCCACTCCTGTGCTGAAATCCTCAACCAGAAATGACCCCAGATGACAGAGGGACAGGTGCCTCATGACCAGATGCAGTTTCCTGGGATGAGCTTCCTACAGTCCTCGGTGGAGACCTGGGACAGAGGCCTTGCCGTGGCCTCTGGGGTGATGGTGGCTCCTTCTTTCGGAGGCAGCCAGGCTCAGGCTCAACCTGGAGGAAGTGCCTGGGGTCAGGCTGGAGAGGGGCAGACAGGGAGTTTATTTTTAAACCCAAGTGGGCACTACAGCTGCCAGGGAGAAGCAGACGGTTCTTGAGGAGAATAGAGATTGGCAGCTGGTCAGACACTTGTCAGGAAGCCTGTAGGCTGCCAAGTGGGCAGGGGTTCAGGTGGCAGAAGGCCAGGGCTGTGCAGGAGGGGTCGGAGTGGGGGGTGGGGCAGTTAGGACTTCAGAGCCCAACCGAAGCGCTGCCTAAGAAGGCAGTGGGGCCCCCGGCGGAGCCCAGCGGCCAGGGCTGCCCGAGACAGCACAGGGCCAGAGAGTGCTGGACGCTGCCGTCCTTATCCCTTCACCCCGGCTCGGTCTCCATTCACGGTCAGATGGCCCCTGTGAAGAGCTTTGTGGAAGAGCAGAGGGCAGTCAAGCGTGAGGGGTGTCAGGTCAGCATGCTGAGGGGGGCTGAGTGGCACCTTGTCCCCTTATAAATAGCCGGGCTGGAATGCGGCGTGTGACAGGGTGGAAGGCTCTCGCCAGCGCTCTGCGTGGAGGAGATTCTCCACGGCCTCCTGGGCCCACCCACCCCCTGAGGCAGGGAGACCTGTCTCTCCCAAAGGCCCAGGGCCGGGCCCTCCTGAGCGCTCCGCCCTGTGCTAGGGCTGCCAGGGCACGTTTCTGGAGCGTCACCAGGATGATCTCCAGGTCCTCATATCTTAGGACTCTTAAAGGACACGACAGCAACAGCTTGAGCCACCCAGGGCCGGGCCCTCCTGAGCGCTCCGCCCTGTGCTACGGCTGCCAGGGCACGTTTCTGGAGCGTCACCAAGGATGATCTCCAGGTCGTCATATCTTAGGGCTCTTAAAGGACACGATAGCAACAGCTTGAGCCATGACGCTAACCAACTTGCTGTCCTGCCTTCGCCTTCAGCCCCAGAAGGCCTACCGGGCCCCCGTGAACACCAGAGGGGTTCTGGGTGTGGTGGGCGGTCCTCCGGGGCCTGTGGGAGGCGGTATGCAGGTCTCACTCTCTTAAATGTACCTGTGGTTTCTCAAGAAATGAGACTGAAGCTCCACCTTCAAAGACCAAACGTTGAAGCCGTCACTGACTCGCCCACCAAGTCCTTTAGGCGGGAGGAGGCTTCCTCTCTCGTTTTCCTTTGGAAGAGGTTAATGGAAATCTTTCATCTACATCAAGTTCCTGGGGTGGGGGACCGGGGGAGGGGGGCAGAGCCTCATTCAGGGCCGGGCACATCTAAGTCTCTTACTAAGTCAAGTTACAATCCCCCCATCCTGCCCAAGTCACCCTGGCTCCTCGCTTGCCTTCTAGAAAGCACACACAGATCCCCTCTGCCTTTAATGAGGTCTTGTCCGTGGCAGCTGATCCAAATCTTTCTCGCTATGTCCTCTCTTCTGTCCCGCCTTATTTCAGTTTCCTGGGCTTAGCTATTGCTACTGAATAGCATCAGTTATTGTCTAGAGACTCTAGACTTAGAACCTATCGCTATCCAACATGGCAGCCACCGGCTGCATGTGGCTTTCGAGCACTTGACATGGGGTCCTGGCCCTGGGGCGTGGGGCTATGATCCGGGAGCTCCCAGCTGCTCATTCTGCCCAGGCCCTTGCTGGCTGCCGCTATTTCTTGCTCCCAGCATCTCCTCTCTGTCCTCCCGGTCCCATTCCCTGTCCCCACCTCTCTCACTTATCTTTCCCCTGAACCAGCGCGACTCCCAGAGCCACAGTCCCTCAGGCCCAACGTGGTCTGGAGGGAAAGAGGAGAATAATTCCCTCCTGGCTCAAACTGGGTCCCCAGGGGGGAGGAGCGCTCGCCTTGCCCAGTTCCTTCCTGCCCCGGGTACAGCAGGAGGCCGCAGAGGTGGGAGAACAAGTTCCCTGTGGGCCCAAGAGCACTGTGCCCTGAGGTGGGCAGTCTCAGCCCCCTTTCTGGGATCTGAGAGGTGCGGTCGGGCCTCTCCGGTCTCCCACCTTTTAGAAAGATGCTTTCCAACTCACTTCCCCGCTGCTCTGCTTTGAAACCAGCCGGCCGTTATCTTAGGAGCGAGAGGAAGCGGAAGGGCCAGACCCTCCACCCAGTCTGTGTCTATTTCCTGGCTGTGGATGGAAAAGTATGTCCTGCCTCCTGGCCTCCCAGCGCCCAGTCCGAGGTGCTCACTTCCTGCCTCCAGTGCCCACCCCCACCCCTCCACCATCACATATCATCACCCTCCCTCCAGCGCCAGGAAGGACAGGGGAGGGTCCCCTGGTCACAGTGCGGTCGCTGACGCAAAGGAGAGACGCAGGTTGGTGTGAGCCCCCAGAGAGGATCTTTAATTGATGTTTCTGTCCCTGCCTCCCCACCCCGAACCCCAGATGACATATTTACAAGATGCTATATGCAGCCTCTAATCGTCCCTGGGCGCTGCCAGGGTCCGGGCAGGAGGATGCAGACAGCTGGGAGCCACGAGGACTGGTCACAGGAAGTCTTAAGTTCTCCACCCCCTCCACCCCTCCCACCCCCCCCCCATACGCACACAG